CCTCTATTTCTGAACGCGTTTGCTACTACTTTCCAATAACTCTCGAATAAGCCAAAGCTCCCCACCACATCCAGCTTTGTATGGTAAGCTAGACGTAGGATCACTAAGCTTGTAAGCCCACGTGGGTGCTGTTAGCTGTTTTGCAAAAATTCTTATGGACAACAAAGATTAGAGCAATTATTCCAAAAATTGTTGAAAGAAAAAACAGCTTATTACAAGAGCGAACAGACTCATGGTAAAACTTTTAACTTCTCAGTCAAGGGGCTTGCTGAGATTACTGACTGATAAAATTCAAAACTTTTGTTTCAATTCTTTGACTGCCTACTGTGGTACAAAGTTTTTAATATTGAAAAAAAAACTTGAGGTTTTTTATATTATTCATTTCGACGGTTCTAACATAAGTGAATAGGTTGAATAAATGCGATGAAACCTTGCCTGGCAGCGTTAAGAACTCTGAAATATCAAAAGCAAAGGTGTGCGTAAGTACTGTATCTGCGCTAGAAAATACTGTCGCTTGTGAGAATATGAACTTTTTTACAAAATGAATGTCTGGAATGCTGTGACACGCTTCGAAATTGTCGGAAGATTCGTAATCAGCGATAAATCCCGTTTATGTTTTTTCCTAAAGATTTTTAGTCAGGGCTCGGTCTAGCTGCACCAGGTCAAGCTTGATATCGTCCTGGGACGAAAAGTGAAGAGATATCGTTTTTGTAGACGAAAAGAAAAGAAAGACATAGATTGCAATGTTTTCTGTCGATGTTCCATTCCTTGTGGATTTACGTTCAAAGTCAAAGGGGACTTCGTACGAAATTTTCAAAATCAAAGGTATTTCGTTTTGGAATTTGTTTGGTGCCAACTAGTTCCGAGCCCTGTTTTTAACTGACCTAAAAGTGCTAAAATCGTCAGTTTGGCTAAAAATTAATTTCGTCTTGACTTGTGAACAAGAAAGAATAAAAATTGCAGCTATTGCTCAGCTTAAGTGTTCTTTGAAATTCGTGCCAGGTTCTCCACTACTTGTTATCAACTGTTGAGATTTCTGCAGAGGATTTAAAGAAAGATACATATTAATATTTTGATTTATTTAGCTTCGTATTTTTTTCGCATGATCGCAGTAGAAATTCCAAAACTAAGCACTTTCTTGATCTTCTCAAATTATGCTCATTTGCAATCTGTTTTCTAAGCCCCTGATGTCATGCTTCTCATTTTTCTCTAGTCTTGAACTCTGCTTATGATAAACCATTGAATCATTCCTTTAAAAAACCCAAGTCGCGCTAATACAGAGAGACTGTTTTACCAAGCATGAGAGAAAGTGCTATGAGCACCTTTTGCACGGCAACTGTCACAGAATAGTCATGTGTAGCAATGCATGATTTATGCCATATGCGCATGCAATGCTTATTGAATATACTACTCGTGATTCTAATATAAAACCTTGTCAGCCCAGCTTTCTCGGCTTAGTCATCCACTTCTTGGCATCAACATAGATCCAAAGGTACAGATGTCACGAAACCATTACTAATTCCTGCTTGGCTTGCACAAATGCGTACCCTCGGTGGCTCTCGAGATAACTACCATGACGACCAGAGCTCGTCTTATTACCGCATTAGTGCCATAAATAGCAACTACTAATACTGATGTTTATGGCAAGGGAAGTCCTAAGGTGGTACTTAAGGTCAAAAAGATTTCCTAGATCTATTTTGCTCCAGTTAGTAGTGGTAGTTTCTTGGGTTTATAGGACTAAAAATGAACTTATTACTATGTTTAGGAAGTTTAATCCTTTTCAAAGGGGTAAGTGGAAGTTTTATGGTTTCAAAATTCTGCTTCTAAGATGAGATGGTGAAAATTGATATCACTCACGTTTCCCTCTGTTTATCCTCTTTTTTCAAAATCGGCTTGATGGTTAGCGTAGGATTTGGTGATGTAGGATTTGGTGATATAGATTTCTTTTGCATATCTGGCGATGTCTCTTCTATGTCAATCTGAAAAACAGAATTACATTTTATTAACTTGCAAGAAATTGTCAATCATTCACCTGGTCGCTAAAAGTCACCGATTTACGATTAACTGAACTTGGACGAGTTTCGATGGCCAAAAGATCTTCAACGGACGAGCTTTCCAGATCCGAAAAGCTAAAAATGCAAGCAACTATTGGCATCTTTACTTTTTGAAAGACGGTTTATCATTGCAGCACAGATTGTAAAAGCGAAGACACTAGGAATAGT